TCTTCTTTTATTTATGTTTTTCCATTTAGTTGAATTATATATTTTATTTATCCTTTGCTTTATGATTGGTTTTTTATGATGGAAACATTGCATATAGAATACGTCCAAGACTTTTAAATATTTTATTTAATTCTGTCCGTTCCCAAAATTAAATTTCTTACCTGTATAAATTTTGGTGTGACGGCAAGGTTTTTGCATCTGGTCAAAAAAGAATTCACATGATCCAATCAACGTGATTGAACTTTTGAACAAACCATTTCATATGGGACTAAGGCTGCACCATTTTTGGCTACTCGATGTCTAAATCAATAGGCAACGGATGAAATTTTAAATTATCCACTAGCAGCAAATACTATTTTAAATAATTGTTATGTCGATGATATACTATGTGGTGCAAATTCAAATAATATGATTACAGAGTTGAAAACTCAATTGACTGGGATATTGCGGTTAGGAGGATTTTCGTTGCTTAAGTGGTTGTCAAATGATTTATCTATATTAGATTCAGGCGAGTGTATAGTGTGGCAACCGGGTCAGGATAAATTTAAAATTCCTTTCCCAAATATTAAAATAACTTTTGAGAAGATAACTAAGTGACTTGTTTTGTCTAAGATTTCTCAAATATTTGATCCATTGGGCTATGTGAGTCCTGTAGTAGTTTGTGCAAAATTATTAATGCAGCAAATTTGGGTGAACTTCCAACAGATCTTAAGGAACATTGGAAAACATTTTCAAATAATTTAAGTGATTTAGGCAATTTGAAAATATCAAGATGGGTTTTTGTAAATCTAAAAGTTTTGTAAAGATAAATGTAATAAATGTTTTTACAAATCAAAAGAACTTGTCAGAAATTCATGAAGAATTGGTCAATAGGAAAATTGAGTCGTATTTCAACCACCAGTTAGTCCTCATTGGGGTAGTTTATGGGAAGCAGGGATAAAGTCCACAAAGTTTCATTTGAAAAAACTAATTGGTAATCTAACTTTAACGTTTGAAGAATTCACTACTGTGTTGGCACAAATTGAAGCCATTTTAAATTCAAGGCCTTTGAGTCAAATTTCATCGGATCCTTCAGATTATTATCTTAATTGCTTAACACCATTAACACCATTGTAGTAAAATTAAGCAAAACTCTTGGAAGTGATGGTCAATTGAATATTTGAGTAGGTTGCAAAGCAGACCAAAGTGGTTCAAGCATGTTAAAAATTTAAAAGATGATTAAAAATATGGTGCTTCTGAAAGAAGATAACGTTCCGCCACTACACTGGCCATTGAGTCGAATTATTTAGGTCATGCCAGGGTCTGATGGAACAGTAAGAGTTATCAAAATTAAAACAAAAAATGGAATATTTACAAGATCAGTAACTAAAGTCAGTCCTCTACGGATCTCAAAGCGGTTGAAGCTGTTACTTCAAGGGGGGGAAAATGTTGGAAAACGAGTAAATAAAATCTATTTGTCTTTATCGCGCCAACCTCCTAATATAATATAAATGAATAGGGCGATATGAGAATTTTGTTATAAGTTGTTTTGTTTTTAGTAACTAAGGTAATTGTAAAAAACAGACACTGTCAATAATAATAATAATTTGTCAAACTCTGACTTACTTTGAATTTCCTTTCACGAATTTGCGGATATGCAATAAAGTCAGGAAAAATGCTACAGTAACATAGCAGAAGCTGAAAGAACTCATGCCAACAAAAAGTGAGGGGCCASTSSCCTTTCTAGGACGATGGTGGACGACAATTGATGTTCCAGACACAGAGGAACAAGTATTGGATATAATTGCAGCAGGGCTTTCCAGGGGCACTCAGAACATTGCACAGCCACTGACACTTTCCCAGGCACCAAATAAATATCGGCTACATTCCTACCACGTATGTAAGATCACATTAAACCAATGGATTACTGAACACGCGTAAATTGAGCAGGAGTTAACTAACCGAATACGGGAAGCTGCTCGAGACGACTGCATAATAAGTTGATACACAGGCACTTGGTTGGAGTTACAGACTCAAATGTATGTGTTGTAATTTGTAAACAAATTAATAATTCGAGGTTCTGAGTTTCGAAATTGGTTTCGTCATTCAACGACTCCTGTTGAATTATCGTTTATCCTTGTCTATCTTATTGGTACTTTTTCTATTTATCCATGGTTATCGGAGTTTTAAATAATTACGAAGCAACAGGTCTTTGCGTCATGTTAATTAGCCAGACATTGAAAAACATTGTTGCCATTTTGCTAATATATTTTTTTGCAAATTTCTCAGTTTTTAATAACAACTAATTTTTTTACTATTTTTTCTGTACTCCTAAAACACCGCCAGACAATACCTCCACAGGAATGACGCCAATTTTGAATCACCCTGTGTGTCTATAACTTTCTATAAAGAAAAACTTTTTTCAAATTAACAATAAAAGAGAATTTCATATGGTGCTTAAATAGATACACTGCATGTCAGCGAGAAAACCGTAAATATTTCGTATTTATGAATTTTTAGTCGGTGTTATGGAAAACCAATAAGTGCCGTCTGCAAAACTGCCACTTCTTGTTAACCATTTGCTGATGGTTCCTCTGGTTTTAGATCAGAAAATCTAATTCGGCCACTAAAGACTGGCATGAATTTGGCCACTAAGTAAGTTTTCCAAAAATATTTAAAGCTGATATTAGAGAATTGTTTTTGAAACTTCAACTTTATGTAATAAATTATTTTTTGGCAAATAGGTAAGAGTTCAACTATACAGGATGAGTCAGTTTATAGTAGCAGGATTTTAACGGTCGATAGAAAATCAAATTTTAAGATGAACATATTAATTTTTTAGATACTGTAACAACATTCCATATTCTAAGACTTATCGCAATTTTGAATTGTTTAATTTAAGTTTGTTAAAAATCTCGAAAAGAGTTTCTGTTCGAGATTTCAAAAAAGAATAATTTTCTTAAGTAAATATGAACAGAAATTTATATTATTTTAAAATCAGTTGTTGATACCGGTAAGGGAAGAAACTTATTATTATTTAAAAATCAAATTTTAGTGCCATATGGCACCCTCGGCATGATTGGATTTACTAGCATATAGAATTTTGTTACGGTAGCTAAGATTTGCGCGTATTAGAAGAAATAGAAATAAAATGCTAACTCTGCGACAATGCATATCTTCTACAAATATTACGATCTAAAAATTGGATTTTGTATCGGCCGTTAAAGTCCTGCTACTATGAACTCACTCACCCTGTATATGTATACCGTACATATTTTATAACAGAGTTACAAGCGACAATTCAATGCATTCGCCATCTTATGGCCAATTGGCCTCCCTTCAAAATATTTCATAAAAATCTTAAATGCTTTTTTATAATCTTGCTCTGGTTCTGTTCTGTTCTGAAGATTTACTTTTGGATTTGTCTAATTTTGCAGCAAAATCGGTCAGAATTTGGTAGATTAGTTCTCGATTTGCCAATAATTATATTACGATTCCAACTTTTACCGTTAAATTTTGGGATGAGAAACCCAGAACTTGAATATTTTTAATAGGTAATGTTAGCTAACAGAAATATATACATAATTTAAAGGATGCATTAACCCACTTGCGACCAATAATTTGCTCTGAATTGTGCCGAATCTTTCATAACGAAACTTGTTTTAGGCGCCAGAGACGGTGCGGTCGGCGACAGGCTTTTACCACTTTAGTTAATTGTTTTATGTTTAAATTTTCATTCAAGCCTTGATGTCTTAATTTTTGCGTCAATATCTAAAGTTTTTTGCGTCAAGAAAGCTATACATAAATTAAGTAAAATCCAGTTATAGTTAGCAAAAAAGAACCAAAATATTTCCCCCATCTATACGCCAATGGTTGTTCCCAATTCGAGCCAAAATTCTGTAACAAAACAAGAAAAGCATATTGTGGACTCATCAAGGTCTCCTTTCATCAGACAACTTGCTATAAAAATGTTAACCACCCAGTCGATCTTCAGCATTCGACAATCGTTTTGAACCCCATCAACAGCCACCATGAAAATCGTGAGTACTTTGCATAATTATCTATTATCCAATGGTTTGCTAGAACAACATCTACTTCCAGGTACTTCTCATCGTCGCTCTTGCAGCAGTTCATGCCGAAGAAGCCACGAAGGGCTCTACGCGAGTTAAACGTGGCTACCTTAGCCAAGGCTATGGAGGCTATGAAGGCATTGGAGGTATTGGAGGTCTTGGCGGCTTGGGAAGCTATGGAGGCTTGGGCGGCTACAGCGGCTACAATAGTGGTCTATCTCTCTACGCAGCGCCTGCAGCTGTTGCCGTGCCTGTACCCCAACCGGTTGCCGTGCCTGTTATCAAGAGGGTGGCCGTGCCAGTGCCTGTTCCACACGCCGTGCCAGTGATCCAGAAGGTGGCCGTACCAGTCACCAGGATAGTCAAGGTGCCCGTACCTGTTAAAGTCGCTGTTCCAGTGAGGAGTTATGGAGGTTGGTCCGGTGGTTACGGAGGCCTATCCAGTAGCTACGGCAGTGGATGGTGGTAAATCGGGACATTTTAATTAACCTTGTACATGTGTAGAGAAATATAAAATATTTTACCAAATTCGGTGGTTTTCTTTTGTGACAGCCTGCAGCGTGTTGAAATGCTAATAATTGGAAATTAATTCAGTTCTGATTGGCAATTATTAACTATATTCAAATTGTGGATTGGGAAACGGTTTCCGCTATTTCAAGAGGAGTTTTTGGAATCGGACATATCGAACGTAGAACGAAAGCACCTATAGTGCTGCTCTAATAAAAACTTGTGTCAAGAGGCAGTCGCTAGATTTTGAAATTGGAAACTGTTCAAAATCTCCAATAACTCGCAATGAGAACAACAATTGCCATGATTGTTTCTTAAAAAGAGCAACGTATTTCATAGATATGTTTTAAATGGTTGAAGCAAATTCACCTTTTCAAAAGGTGCGTTTGTTGTGTGCTTTGTCTTAAAAAGTTTTAGATATTTAGAAAAAAATGACAGAGCCTCCTCCCGTCGTTTCCTGATTGATCAAAAGCCTTACTTTACAATAGAGAACGCATTATTTATCAAAAGGCAAGCAAAAACTCTTACCATAATCGCAACTACGTTCAAGCTCTTAGAGAAAAATTAATTCAGCAAAGAAATTAGTTTGCAAAAGTTACTCTAAATTTAACATGAAATGTCTTTCCACAACATTCGATGGTTCAACTATTTTAGCAATAAAAACCATAAATATTAAAACGTGGAATTAAAGAAACTGAATTAATTTTATTAAATTAAAATAATTGTTTTGCCTCATATTCATTTAGTTTTAGCTGAATTAGACCAAATAAAGACACATAAAAATTAAAATTACAGCAAAATTCCTAATTAATTTTACTTGCTACTATTTTTTAATCAATGAAGTTTAAGTCGGTCTCAAAAAATTGAGATTTTGCAAAAAACCGAAAACTTGTATCAATTTTACATATTCGTATGCACTCACTCTTGTTTAACAACTTGTTAACATAAACTGAAATTAAATATCCTGAGTCTAATTAAAATAACATTATTTGCATAAAATTTATATTTTTATTGAAATTACATTTTTCGACATACTTAACCCGCACACAAGAGGACTTAGATAAATTTTCGCCCACCTCATCGCTAGACAACAACCAGGCTTCAAAGTAATGGATGTAAGAGGGGAGCAGGGGAGCAGACAGCGAATCCGACCACTGCCTGGTGATGTGAAAACATACGTACCATGCATCACAACTGGTATTGTGAGTACCACTCGCAGTATTTTATGTCTCGTTTATTTTAAGGGCGCGTGTTATAAAGGCCGGGTTGAACCTCCTGCCGACCAACCGTGGCTTCACTTTCAGCAGGCGGTTGACTTCATTTGTGTATTATAAAAACTATTGAGCCTCGGCTTTGTCAACCGGAAGATGACTTGTGTTATCGATCATTGGCTACATTGCGTGAACAACATCAGCCAATCGAAATCATTGGTTTCTTGTCAGTTCTGAGGGCTTGGTACCTGTGTATATCTTCTTTCTTGATTTTAGGCAACTCGCCTGTTCAATTATCGCTCACCTGCGTGATGTTATCGCTCCATAGTTTCCTGGGGCGCCCAACGTCTCTTTGTCCCAATATCCTGCGGTGGTCCATCCTGCTTATGTGCTCATGCCATTCCTTCTTCCTGTTTGCTACCCATTSATTGATGTTCTTGACATTACAGGCTGTTCTGATATCCTTGCTTCTCTCTCTACCCAGCAGTGTCTTCCCGATGATTCTACGAAGTATTTTCATCTCAGCTSTCTCTAGGAGTCATTTGGTTTTCGCTGTTTSTGCCCTGTTTTCTGTGGTATATATCATCACGGGCCTCACGACGGTTYTGTAGATCCTCRATTTAGTGTCCGTTCCCATACTCTTATTGCACCATAGGGGATTCAGAGAGCCAGCTCTTCTAATTACTTTTAAAGCCGGAAAGTTCCAGGCCAAGGTAGTTAAATTTGTTAGTTAAAATTGACCTATGTATATAAACATACTTATTCGAACATCCTAATGACTTTAATCAGATTCTTCTCGCCTCTCAACTAAATTCATAAAATATAGTATAAAATCTTCTGTATGATTGTTACTCATAGCACTATTGTTGTTATTTAAGGCACTATTATTGTTTTGAGGCATTGCTTCTGCATTAAACCGAAAATTGGGATCTGGAGTTGAACTTGGTTCATTCATGTTTTGCGCTACGTCATACAATACTGCACATGCTATAAGGAGCGATTTTGTTGCATCTAGAGATACTCTCACATAGAGAGATAGTACAGGAAAGCGGCGTTTTAAAACACCGAACAATCGCTCAATCGAATTTCGAGTTCTAATTTGAGATACCTTAAATATGTTTTCTGTTTCTCTCTGTGGATTTGTAATTGGCGTGATTATTTAACTTTGTAAAAGATTTCCAGAATTTACAAGAAGTACGAAGTTGTCAAGTTCTCTCCTTCCGAAGCGATTCTRCAATTTGCTGTTTTAAAAAATTCTTTGATCGTGAGTTGCACCACGCTGCTGAAGTCCCGGTTGAAATCTCAAACGAACCCGTCTTCGGGTCGAGTMAATCGTCACTGAACCGGCACTTCAGCGGCCGTTTAGCGGATCTCTAAATTGCCACCAACGTTTCGGATATAAACGTATTTGGCGCTCAATGGAGATATAAATTATCCTCAAAACGAATTATATGCTATTCCTTATGGAAAAACCTATATTTTATTTTGCTCGCCTGAAAATGAATGTCCTCGTGCAATGTCACGCCCTTCTTAAAGAAATAACAACTTTCAACTAAGTCTCAGTAGCATCTTCTATGAGGAAGTTGTTGGTCTAAAAGCGTTGAAGATTTTGATAGAATATAAACAAATTTTGAGTTTTCCAACTGAATTAATGCTGAGCTGAACATAAATGTTATCGCGCAATGCCATTTTTTTAATTACAACTTCTCATGGAACCGCAGGAGCAACTTTAAAGTTTCGACATCTATAAGCGACTTTCCATTAAAGAGTTCGGGTAATTTCATCAAAATCGGCAAAAATTATAATTGTTCTCAGCCAAATCAATGGTGGTCTTAAAAATTATTTTATCCACACGATTTTACGGCCTTCTAATAAAAATGAGAACTTCTCATTTACGTTTACCAGCATCTTGCAACTTTTCCTATCTATAGTGGGCTTCATGTTCTGCAAGTGCCGAAAATTTCAGCAAAATTCTAATTTTTTTTAAACTAATCAATGGTGAGCTGAAAATGAATATTCTCACGTAATTACACGCCCTTCTGAAAAATTATGAGAACTTCCATTTCAGATTCAATAGCCACTTGAGGTTTTGGTCATCATAGGTGAGTTCACATTCTCAAAAGCTTAAAATTTCAGTAACAAAAGAATAAATTCTGATTTTTATCAGTCAAAGCCATGCTGCGCGAAAATCAGTGTTTTCACACAATTACACGCCCTTCCTTAAAAAATGAGAATTTCCCCGTCAAGTTTAGTAGCACATTGACACTTTTCCCATCTGGAGGGAGCTAGATGTTCTGCAAGTGGCGAAATTTTCAGTAAAATTCTAATAAATCCTGATTTTTTTCGACCAAATCAATGGTGAGGTAAAAATGAATATTTGCTCGCAATTACACGCCCTTCTGAAAAATGATGAGAACTTTCATTTCAGATTCAGTACCCACGTGAGGTTTTTGTTATCTATACGTGAGTTTACATTACCGAATAAATGCTGATTTTTATCAGTCAAAGCAACGCTGCGCTAAGATTAGTGTTTTCACACAATTGCACGCCTCAGCAGACAATTCCATTGACGAGATTCAAGACAATTCCATGCTTTAAATGGTTTTCGCGTGCATTCAGGTTAAGTTTTCTTTAATTTTGATAGGTTTTCCTAAATAGATATATATTGAAGATTCTCAGAAACCGTAATACTTAGAATCACATCTAGACTTATCTTAGACAATTAATGATTGCGAATAAGCTCAAAAAATATCCGAAACGACATGCTTCAGTCCCATTTTTGCATTTCACCATAAAAGTAGTTCAACAGGATCAATTTACCATCTGAGTAGAAACATTCAAAAGCTTTATGAACGTGCATTATTTAATTTTCCATATAAATCGGAAAAGTTATAATCGGTTTCAAGAGCAGCCGCCGATTACCTTGAAACGGTTTTTACTTTCGTTCGTTCAGCCTTTTGGTGTTGGCCAATAAGAATAAATCTGCAGCTGGTGAAGAGTCACGGCTTTATGTAATGGATGGTGTCCGACCGAAATCCGCATTTTTATGTTGCCCTCTGGGCGCGAAGAAGTTACGTTGTTATCGTGCACCGATTAAAATAAAGAAAGCAGAATTTTTAAGCATTTTGATACGAAAAAATCTATCCCACCCAGACACCCGGGTGCATATAAAAATGTGAAATTCGGAAAGTGTCATCAGTCTTCTTCGAGAGCTTGATCACATTTTCTACAACTTTATTGGGTGTGCAATGAAGTCCTTAGTAAGTACAATCTATTAGTTTTAAAATCCAATTTTTTAATTTACTTTTTATTTTCAGGCGTTTGTCCTTCTCCTAGCGCTTTCCACTGGTTGGGCCCACCCAGGCAACAAAGTAAAGCGTGGCTTTTTGCATGGAGGGCCCATTGCTTCTGGAAGCGTAGAAGTCGGTGGCGGACACTTAGATATTCCTTCAGTGCCTTCATTGCCCTTAGAAAATGAGATCCACTCTAGCGGAGCGTCCGGGTTCTCTTCTTCTGGATTTTCAGGTATTTAAACGGCTCGACTAATAATTCTAGAGTTTAAACCTACATGTATGTTTTCATAGGGGTAGCAGGTGCAGGTGTAGGAGTAGGTGTAGGCGTAGGAGCTGGAGTAGGTGTAAGATCGCTTTCTTCAGCCGGTTCCATTGTTGGACAATCACTAGGATCAGGAGCGGTTTTGGCTGGAGGTGTCAGTGGCGGAGCTCCAGGGCCTCTAGGAGGTCCTGACCTACACTCCAATGAAGCTCACTACCACTTGGGACACTCAGTTCAGCGTCACGTCTCCATTCTGCACAGAATTGGCGTGCCAGTTCCTCAACCGTACCAAGTGCAGGTGGAGAGGCGAGTTCCAGTTCAGGTGCGTACCCAATGTCTGGTGAAAAATCCAACTGAGGTCTTCGCTTTCGTTTTCGTAGGTTCCAACTCCAGTTGATGTACCAGTAGACCGTCCCTACCCAGTGCACGTGCCGCGCCCGTATGAGGTCAAAGTCTACAAAGATGTGCCAGTTGAGGTCGACCAACCAATCCAAGTGCCCGTTCAAGTACCAGTGCACATCAACGTGCCTCACCCAGTGAAGGTGGTGCAGGAAGTGCCAGTTCCAGTACATATCATCAAAAATGTACCCGTCCCGGTCCCACACCCAATCATCGTGAAACAGAAGGTTCCTGTTGCAATCCACGCCCACATTGAACCCGTGGACATTCACTCCCACCACTCCCACCACTCCTCACATTACGATGCTCATCACGGGTGGTGATTTTTGGGATCTGCGATTAATCGACTGATTCTCTTTGTTTTGTTGTCTAGTCCTTAGGTTAAGAAGTTGTTTGTTTCTGTTGAATTTTAATAAATGTTCTATAAAGTTTACAAGGATGTTTTTTGGAGGAACTTTTTCCTACCCAGCCAGCACAAATCGTGAGAATGACGTGAAAACGTCACCAACTTTGTTACGTTAATTCAAAGAGTTGGAAGCAAAACCGCCTAAGTTGCAAAAGGTTAGCATAGAAAAAGGAACCGTCAAACTTTTAATGCGATAAAAAAATCCTAGCTTCCAAATTAAATTAGGTGAAAAAGTTAAGTACTACTCAAGAAATAAAAAAGTTTTTTAATACACGAACAATCAATTAGGTTGTTTTGATCTTGAATTAAAACAAAATCAAAAGATAGAAAAACGACAAAGCGATCAATTTTTCTGAATATTTTTTCACAAAAAGTAATGTTATCAATACAATAAGAGAATTTACTCGTAATCTGGCAACAAATTTATGTAATTATTATCTTCTAATATCACTCTATTTTTGCGGCTTTGGCTCATGGAGCAGGTCTTTATAAAATTGATGGTATATTGGAAAGGTAAAATCTAGCAACTTTCGTAAATTCTCCCATTTCTTGTATTTATTTATTTTTTAGTGTTTCTTGGTAAAGGGGTTCTAGGTTTAAATTATTTAGTGAATCCCCAAACATATTTTCAGCATTCTTGTGACGGAAAAAATGGAAAGACCGCATCGTTTTCTTTAAAGGAAAGCAAATATGTTTGATTTTTAATGTATGAAACCCCTTTTTCTCCTTTTCACAGTCTGAATTAGTGCCTTTTTTTGGATTCTTAATCATCATCAACAGCCCTTTTGTGTCCACTGCTGGACATAGGCCTCCACGTTACTCATTCTATTGCTTCCGCTCTTGAGCACTGGATGCGCTTGATGTCGTCAGAGCATCTCGTTGGGGACGTCCTCGGTTTCTATATGTATCGTGTCTAGGGGTCTCCATTCTAGGATTGTCTCTGTTCATCTTCCAGTTCTGACTGTCTGACTCTGCAAACATGGACCGCCCAGTTCTATTTCAGCGTTATAATTCAATCAACTAAGTCCGTAACACCGGGCTTTTCCTTAATTATATTGTTTGAAACTCAGTATCTGAGGGATAAATTGAATATTGATCTCTCCATTGCTCTTTGTGCAACTTACATTTTGTTTGTTATCTTCTTGGTACCAGTCAGTGGTTCTGCTCTATGTAGGAACCGGGAGCACGCACTGATCAAAAACCTTCCTCTTTAGACACATGAAACTATTTGAATGAAACATATCCTTCTCTATACTCTGCAGTGGTATTCTCCTCTTCAATTCTGCGGTCTGGTTGTCTTTTCCGAGTTTAATCTAGTGGCCGAAATATTTACAGGCATGCACTTATTCTATTTACTTACCCAACGTTGAAATGTATTTGGCCAATTCAAGGTTGGTCGTGTATTGTGTTTTAAAGAAGTTAATTTTTATGCCAACTGGTGCATAAGATCTCCGAAAAAGTTGACATGCATGATCTACCCGGTGTTCAATAAGGACTACATCATCTGCAAACTTTCTTCTTCTTGTGCCATACTCACTCCGAGAGCGTAGAAGACCTCAGGTGCATACTTGTGAAACCCATCAACCACAACTCTATATACCTGCCGTTTACCGCCGATTCCGAACGGCACCAGTTGAGAGGTTTTCCTGGGCAGAATACCCGTGGTAGTTTACCATTGCTTTCCACTAGGTGGTCACAGCGTAGCTGCGTGAAAAGTGTTCACGTCTAGGCCGGAGATCGATCCCTGGGTCTGAGGCATGACAAGCGGATGCGTGCACCACCACACCACTGTGACCACTGCAAACTTGTTGTTTTTAGGTTGTTCAAATACTGCCCATTTATGTTGACTCTAGTACTTCCACAACTGTTGTTCTGCATGACGCTCTGCAGCAGAGCGGATATTATTTTTGGAGATATAGTGTCTCCATGCCTAATATTTTTCTCCTAGATAAATTTGTTTATGTCGCCATACTAGATGCTTGCTGTAGCTGTTGCGTTATTATATATAATAAGAAGAAACGTCGTGTATCTATGAGCAATACTGCAGTCTGTAACCGCTCTCAACATTGAGGTATGCTGGACTGAGTCAAAAGTGCTTTCTCAAAAAAACTAAAAATACGTTTTAGCTACTCCTGGTCCAATTATAAATTATTAACCTAATAAAAATATTGGAATTATTAAATTATCATTACGATAAACAAGTTCAATATTTTAGGGCTTCCATAAATATCATTTCAAATGAACAGTTCTTCTGACGCAAGAAGATAAAAGCGGTTCAAGTTCCACAATTTTACAAACCAATTACCTGTTGTGACCTACCGATCCTACTTCAAAAAGTTAAATCAATCTCATGAACTTGTCGGTGCGCAGTAATGTAAATATAGTGGATAAAATAATGAAAGAGACAAAATAAATAAAAAGATCCAATCTCTTCATATCACTCTCTTTACTAAAATCACCAGAGTTTTCACAAAGCACAAAACAATTACATCCGGAATTAGATTCTTATTTAAACTGCTAACTCCAGTACCTGCGGTAGCTTCCAAAACCCCCAAAATTGCGTATTCGAGTGGGCTGCCTGAGAAACACGAGCTGAGGTACTGGAATTGGCACTGGCACATTAACTCGCACTGGTACTCGCACTGCAAAAGGCACTGGTCGGTCCACTGGCACTGGCCGATCGACAGAAACTGGCACCTGGACTGGAAAAGGGCGATCGATGGGCAGAGGAACGGGTTGGCGTACCACCACTGGGCGATCAACTGGTACCGGATAAGCCTGAGGTATACGATTGCCGATGAAGTTGACTCCAGCAAAGGAGTTGAAGCCTTCGCCAAAAATACTACGTTTCGAGTGTTTTTTCTGGCCACTTGACCATGACGTGGCGATGCTAAGCAGGGTTATTAACGTCTGGACATAATAATCAAGTGAAAACAAGAAAAGTTGACCGAAAAGACTACTTACGAGAAATTCCATGTTGATGCAAAGCACAGGTACTGCCGAAAAAATCCATGCTCAGATTAATTTATATGAAGAAAGCGCTAGAGGGGAAAACTGGAGCGAATGATGGAAACTTTCTTTGGATGTGACGATCAGCGTTGCATAAGAGCCACGCTTTAATGTGAGTGCGAAAAACAAAAATATGCGGTTTTGCATGTCAATTGATTTCTATTTTTCCGCTTGATTTAAAGAAATATTAGTCTCTTGGGAAGTGAACCGATTGATTCGATAATTATATTTCGGTAATTACTCGATGTCTATGCTTCGGTTCATGGTTAACCTGCCGTCCTAATCATACAAAACCTTTCAATTAATTATCTCGGAACAAGCTCTAGAAACACCACAAACGACACAAACGAGTTGTTTGACCAAATTAGCAGCAATCATTTTAAGCAAATAATTAAAAAAACATGTAGTGACGAGAAAAAAATTTATGCGAAACAATTAAATTTAATGGTTGCCACTTTCTCATAGCAACTATCTTGGTCACGTCTCATTAGCTGCTGATCTAATTTACGAATTTTCTGAACGATTTTACACTCAGTTTATACTGGAGATTTTTTGAAGTTTAGTTAGATTTAAGAACAGAACACTTAGACTGGACGCTTCGCGGTATTTCGCTACCATTTTTATTGAGATAAAAACTAAAGAGACTGAACCGTTTATAGTCCTATCCCTTGACATTTTGTGTGAGAATATTTTCTTCAAACTTAGACGTGGATATAAAAACTAGCTATTGAAATGGCGCCTGCGTGCCAAAAAATGTGCAAATCGACTTTAAAATTCAAATTGAAATAGAGGTAAGTAATGCGTTTCATCTAAAGTGTCACAAAACCCCTATCCATTTAATGTCTTTACCTAATATGGTTTATCACGTAGGCAAATACACAGGGTGTTCCGCTGAGAACCACCGCGATGGATAAATCGCATACTTTAATTAGGGGAAAGTTTGAAAAGTACGGTGTGTCAATTTGAAAACTTCTCACCCCTGATATGTTTCTTGCAGTTGAAAACATAAAAAATCGGAAAATCCCGTTAATTTTATTTGCAAAGGGGACACTTTAATTGAACATTTTTAGCCTCCTTGTTTCAACCCCTTAGGAGGAGTAGATGTCACCCCTATCATCTTAAACGGGAAGGGAGGTCAAGTGGAAAATCGTTTCAAAGGGCGTTCAATTCGCATTACACAAGTTATTACTTTGTTGCTTTATGTCCAGAGGTTTCCGAACAATCGCGTTTCAAACTTGTAGGAACAATTAAACTTGCGTGCATTCAGATATTGGTATTCAGGTTAGTGTTTACACAAAAACAACTGTGTTGGGTGTCCTTGTYATACAAGTGATTAGAAGAGTAGGCTACCCTGTTAAAATCGTTGAATAGGAGGAAGAAAATCTAGTTTAARCATTGATTTCTTATATAAAAATGTTTTTCGGGCTTTGAAGCCGTGGTCCATAGGAATTTTTTCCTGGCGTTTCGTCCACAAGTGCGGTGCACATTATCAAAAGCAATGAGGCAGTGGGCGAAGTGATCTCCCGTGCTTTCCCACTAAGACTGGTTCAACTACAATTTTTGTTTTAGGTTTAAATCCCTGCAGAATTTTTAATGACGAATAACTCTTTCCATAAGATCATCAATAAAAATTTTCCCATATCATGAGAACTTAAGTAGACGACACTGCATATAACATGTAATAATGAGGGTTTGCAAATAAGATAAAACGTGGGAGTCTCTCGGTGACTTCGAGATTCCATAACCATTCGTGTGGCTTTATAACGTAAATAATCCGTGCCAAGCGGGTCGTAAGAGGCCAGATGTCGCGGAACATAGACACAGAACAGCATCAACACACAAGTGTCTTTAGACACAGTATTACCAAGCCCTACGCTGTAGAATATGTACGATTTACTAATATTCTTCTCTCCACTATCGCGCCTTCCCATTTCCTGGATTTATGGTATGTCCATCCCAATATTTGGCAGTTTTTTTCATGGTCTGTGAAACCACGTCGGCTCTAAACCGTCTGAGCACATTCCGTCTTCTACTGATTCTCGTCTGCCGTTTTTATTGCCGGGTTAGTCGTGTTAAATCAATCCTATTCCGTGGCATCCTGTCGGTTTCCATAACAGCCTGTTTTTCTCCGAGAATGGGTGGTTGGTCCATCGCGCAACCCTCCTCCTTTCACATCTGGACTTGAAACCGGCAATGGAGAGAGAAGATAGATCGCAAACTCTTATTAGGAGAATTTTGAAATTTGGACAGTATACCAAGAGCGGGAGGGCAAGAGATATACAATATTTTCAAGATGGCGACACCTTCGGTTAGACCGGAGGTATCAACTTGTTCATTTTAAATGGAACACCCTATATATTATATTTTTTTGCATTCTATTGCAAATTCTAAGTATATTTTATGCATAATGTCATATACCCAAGTATAATCGTTTTTGAGACATTTGAAATTTTATGTAGAAAACTACAGTTGCAAGCACTCGAATAATTATTCATTTTTCTTATAAGGGAAAATGTGATACTTAACTTGAGTCGCATTTATAGGTGAAAAGGATTAAGTTTCGAGAATTTCGATAACAAAATGTTAAAAAATTAACTTCAAAATGAAAATGAGAAAACGGCCAAAATACATTTTTTTCAAATGAAAATAAAAAATTATTTTAGTAAATTTATCTTAAATATTATTGCTATAAAAACAAAGATAAGTTAGTCTAAGAGTCTGTCAAAGATATATTTCAAAATATTGGCACTTTTGGTCGCGCCGTATTTTAAGTGCAGCCAGTTTTAGCTGCCATGACTGAAGTGGCTTTATTACACTCAAATTCAAAAATAATGTTTACTCTTACCGTTTAAAAATAATTAATAATCATGACGGGATGCTTAAATTATACAAATAAAGATTATTTAAACTCATTTATTATGTATGCAGAAGCTGATAAAGTTACATCAAGAACATGTGACACATTGATTCGATATTCGCAAGATCAGAAGTCATCACCTAAATTGGATCCGTTGCGGCAATCGTGCATAGAAATAATATGTTATTATGTCTGTAAGACAAACTGCGCCAGAGTCCAGCTTGTCCCAACAACAGGTTGTAGAATATAACGCAAACATTAATTCAATTCCCACATGTTTGCCATGATTCAGCATCTGAGACAAACTAATTTTTCAACCATAGTGGCATTCTGTGCATATCTCGTGATTTTGTCGCATGGAGCCAATCTTTTTTTGGACAATATCATCTGGAGAGACGAAGCTAAATTTGCAAAAAAAGTGGTGCCTTCAATCGACACAATTCGCATTATTGTATCACTTCAAATATACATTATTCGGGCCCGGGTGTAGTGTAGCCGCTAGGCCCGGGCATAGAACACGGCCTATAAAGGGGTAAGACTGAACTTTCAGGTATTCCCACAGCGACACCGATACGGCTTGCCGTATTGATACAGCTACACAGCGCGCCACACTTTTTATACCGGGTGATTGAAAATTGGCGTCATCCCTTTTAAGGGTTGATAGAGGATCACTTGGGGAGTACGAGAAAAATATAGACAACTTTTTTTTCGAAAATTTCTAGAAGATATTAACAGTTGAACATCAAATTTCAACTTTGTTATTAAGCATTATTTTGAAAGTGTTCCATATTTAATTGGAAGCATATTGGAATACTTAAGCATTCAAAACGAAAAATTACAATCTTTGCTTCAAATTACTAAAATTTTTGATATCAAAAAAGTTCTCTTCTACAAATTTTTGATGAAAAATCACAGCGGCAATGATGTTTTTTATCATTTACAGATAGTTACAGGCAGACAGTTCTTGCCAATAAAAACAATAATTTGTCAAACTGTGACTTACTTCGAATTTTCCTTCACGAATTTGCGGATATGCGATTAGTTCAGGGGAAATGCTACAGTAACATAGCAAAAGCTGAATGAATTTACTCCAACAAAGGGCGAGCAGAGTGGTTCCAGGAAGATAGTGCACAACAATCGATTTTCGGGTGCCAGACACAGAGAAACAAGTATTGGACATAATCGAATCAGGGCCTTCCAGTGGCACTCAAAGCACGATAACTGACACTTTCCCAAGCACCAAATAAATACGAGGAAAGGCTACATTCCTACCAAGTTTGCACGATACACACAGCACAAGGAGATACAAATGGAGCAGGAGTTAATTTACTGAATACGAGAAGCTGCTTGATAAGAGTGGATAATAAGGAGATTACGCAGGCACTGGCTTGTTTGGAGTTAACTATTCAAATGTTTAGTGTTGTAGGGTTTACACCAATTCGAGGTTATGAGAACAGGTTGATATTTCGAAAGTACGTTCCGCAGTCAACAAATCTTGTTGAATTTACCGTTTATCTTTGTATTTCTTATTGTCACTCTGTATAGTTCCATGGCTACCGGAGTTTTAAATAGTTATGAAGAAACATGTATTGCGTAGTGAAATTTTGAGCACGCTACGTCATTTAGTTTGTGTTTAACAGTCATTGGAAGGAGATGGAAAAAAAATAATTTCGGGTGCTCATTAAGCATTATTTTTTACGTAAGAAAACCATCAGAGACCCTGCACCACCAATTTCACTGGTTAAAAAGTGTTTTACTGAGTTTCGTTGTGGTCGTACTAGCACAAATGACGCAGAACGTTCAGGTCGTCTAAGAAAGGTTGTTACACCAGAAATGGTCGATAAATCCATGGAACGATACTGGAAGATCAGATATTAAAAGTGCGCGAGGTGGCTGAGGTTGTAGGCATCTTAACTTATAGTGGGTTTCTGTAGGTGAACATGCACCAAAGAAGGCCAAAATTTGTCTGTCAACCACAGTTTTTTGGGATTCACGTGGTGTCATTCACATCGATGACCTTGAGAAAGGTAATGCGATCACTGGCAGATAGTATCAAGAGCTTTTGGACACTGGATGTTGACTTAAAGCTAAAACCACCGCATTTGACGAAAAAAGTGCTGGTTCATCAGAACAATGCACGGGTGCACACGTATGTGGTCGCCATGGCAAAAAAGCATGAATTAAGCTACGAACTGTTGCCCAACCCAGCATATTCTCCCGATTTAGCCTCCTGTGACAATTTTCTGAGTCAAAACCTGAAGAAATGACTGGGTCGTAAGAGATTTGGGTCCAATGAAGAGGTGATTATTGAAACAAACGCATATTTTGAGGACCTCAAAAAATTATATAATTTGGAAGGGATAAAAAACTGGAACGACGCTGGACTTAGTGTATCCAGATTAAAGGATATTCGTTAAGAAATTAAAGGTTTTTCGGCGGAAAAAAATGCCTTTTATTCAAAAACTGACTGCCCTATGAAAGGACCCTCTTAGTAAATGGATTTTTTATATATATCGATCGCTTTACTCTTTGCAGCGGCCTGGTATCAACAAAAGCAAAGATAGATGTAAAGTCGGTAACAACATTACCCCTTATCTCGAACACTAATTATTATGCTGAAAGCAGACCAATCTTAGTAAGCTCTTCTTCATTGTTTATCACACGTTTTTCGAAAAAAAAAGTGCTGTTTTAAATCAGTGAGAGGTAGGAAAGAAATCATGTGAGTGATGAGAATGCAAACATAAGGAGATTGTTGACAAGTAGCTTGTTTTCCATAGGTTGAGAGCATGTCTACTAGTGGTACTGATTGGGTGCACAGCCTGTACCTCGGTGATCCAACTTAATTCGGAAGTAATGCTATTTAGTGCTCACCTGATGGAGGACACACCCCTGCAAACATCTGAACTCCAACTAGATAGCGAGGAGCTTGTAGACCATCTAATTTTGATGTTTTGCTCTGGAAGCATTGGTGAGGTTACTTTTCGGCAGTTTCCTAAAGTACGTTTGCTCTAACTAACACTAAAACATAGTAAGTGTTGGTATTGCAGCTACATAAACTCACAATCTGGAGAAGCCGTATCGAGCACATTTCCGCCTTTCTCCCTATAACCGAGCTTGAAGTAGTACGTTCCTACTTTCCCAATCTTGACGCTAGCTTACAAGAAAAACTGCAAAAGCTCCGCATTCTAACTATCAAGGCGAATAAGAATTTTCAAGTGGAACCTTTGATACTCAAGAACTTCAAGCATTTGCAAACTCTTTTCATATCGGAGGCTAACTTTACCGATGACTGCGTAACAAAGAACTGGTTTAAGGGAATGGAAGATCTACAACAATTGGGGCTTAGGGGCAATGGCATCAGCTGCATGACTGCTGACGCTCTTAGCAGCTTGCAAAACCTCAGAATGTTGGACCTAACCAACAATCATCTAGCAGACATTCATAAAACAGCTTTTAAAGAGCTCACTAAACTCGAACAATTGGGCTTTTACGAAAACGATCTGGAGGAGTTTGATTTCCAAGCCTTGGCCAGCCAGAAGGGTCATTTGGAGCTACTGGGAGTGTCCTGGAAAGTACTGAAATCCAGCGGAATATCTGCAAAAAATTTACTGAAAGTTTTGCCCAATTTAAAACTGCTATCGCTGGGACATACGGATATGCCAACTGATTTTAAGGCTGGCGAGTTTTGTCACATTTTGAAGCAGAATGGGGCTAGCTGTATGATTGATAATCTTTTTGGTACACCAACCCTGTTCGGGACTCAATGGTGAGCCAGAGGAGAGCTCACTTGTTCTTACAATACTTATTTATATGACAGATGATCAACCATGTGTGAAGGAACATTGCATGACATAATAAATTGAACACTATTTTTGAGTCAAAACTTTATTTAATTTACCTTAGTTAGGGTTAGATTGCACACCTACTGCACATGGTAAGTGTGATAAGTCAAACTACCACAGTTCAGAAAACGCAAAACGTTTGAAAAAATATCGCTAGCAGAAAACCATAATAACTAATAATAATGATAATTTTAACAAAGGAAAACGCTCCGATTTTCTTTTTGAAGGGGAAATCTTTTCAGATCAAGATAACATCTCTAGCTAAAATCTTAAATATAATTGGGGGTCAAGGTAGACCTGGTTTGAAAACTCTTTTCTATTCCCTTTATGGTCATACCTAGTTTAAGCCATTTTACTAAAGCGGTTCAAAAATAAATATAATGTATGCCTTTTATTGGAAAATCGTTGCAATAACTTTTTTTGAAACAAAGTGTTTTCGGACTTAATACGTGGTTAAATCGATACTGCTTCCTCATGGCACACCTTGTAAAACAAAAACTATAAAAGTATCTATATTTTAATTGCATTTCGGTCCACTGTTACATGACTCTACAAAAGTATACGACTTGAATCCAGTAAAACAAGTCGCCCTGCGGGCTGCCACCACCTTTTTGTTAACATTTATTATATTACGTATGGTTTTCATATGGCCACGCTGAGAGCATGACTTTGTAGTAAAAGCTGGCCAACAGGTAAACATATGAAATGCCAAAAAATACCTTCGGAATTACACGCGCAATCAGCCAGGACTGGTGTGGACGGTTGAGAAAAAAATATATGCATAGACAGAAGGATAAATATCAAAATGATTTTTCGAAATGATTCTTATGACTCATCCGTAATTTTCGACCGTTTTGAAGATATTACCTGTTTTACATTTTTTGTTTTGCATTTTTACGTATCCTTATTTCTGTTTATATCTCCATGTAGGCTGGGAATTCCTAATGAAACCAAGTGTATAAAAGTTACTACTCAAGAAGGGCTATCAAAAGAGGCTACCGACAACTGCATAGGTTAAACCGTTTCGGAGATGTGGGCTTTCGTCAAAATTTTAATATTTTTGCTTATTTCTCTTTATAGGTTAGGAATTTATGATTAAAGCTAATTGATGAAATATAGGTCTCGATGGGGGCTATCCAAAAAGGTCCTTACAACCCATGCGATATTTCGAGCCGTCTAGGAGTTATGTCATTTTTCAATTTCAGGCCCCTAGAAAAGGGCGAATTCCTAGTTCGATCCTGAATTTCTATACCAAAATAAAGCTCGTTTTATCGGCTTTGAACAAGGTCCTATAGAGAATTGCGCTATTTCCAGCCGTTTCAAATGTGAATCCAACCAAACCAAATCACTAAAACTTCGAGACTCTGTCTGAGCTGTGTGCCAAGTTTCAGATCAATATCTGCAAAAATTCGCTCTGAATCCTGTCTACAACTTTTGATAACATACACACATATACGGACAGACAAAATAAAATTTCGGCCCTTTATAGTCTGGTACAACTTTGGGTTCGCTCGGATTTACCGTTCTCGAGATATGGCTCCCAGCTTCGGAGGCTATAAGTAGTATAATTGGGGATATTTCTTAGGATGTTACATGTTACTCGCTCTTGAATGATGTGGAAGATTTTTTTAAATCAAGCCTTGGGGCTGTATTGGGCTTGGAAATTTGGCAGTTAATAAGAAATATTAAAAATCTAAATCTCTGAATTTTCCGAATTAATGCAACTTTAGGAACATCGTTAGAAAAACCAACTAATTTTGCTTCATTTTGACTTTAAGGACGTACCTACCTTGATGTGAGTGAGGATATGAACGAAATACATTTTTCAATTAGCCGTGGATCACTTATCTCGATCAACCCAAAACATTGAAAATGGAAAGCGACATTGCTGCTTCCATCAAAAAGTCCGCTACAACTTTGATATGGTTCGTACCCATTTAAATAGGCTTTTATATACAGGACGGTCCCTGTAGATTTGGGAGTTTCTAACAAACCAGGGCGCATCTATATAGATTAAGTGGAAGTAAGGAATAGTTTTGCTGTTACTTTGAAAACGCTTGAAAGCACGTGGTCGTCGTATAAAACGCCGCTATTGAAGTTGCAAGGGCGACTGCCCTGTGAAGAACATCTAGTTTGATGTAGTCTCTTTGATAATTCATTAATAATAACATGTTCAGACCCAATATTAAACTTTGTATATCCTACCAAAAGTGATGCTTTCGAGTTTTTTTTACATATTATGAAAAGATCACTAGGTGGTCCGGATGTTGACAAAACTGACCATTTTAAATTATGTGTGTGAGGAAGAGAAAGGAGGACCGTCAGGGAGACCCTCGACACCGAAGGTATTATTATCAACAATTTCTTCTGAGGATGGTGGAGGGGGAATTGCAGTAGAGAATAGTTTTGGTCTGCGATAAAATGTCGAGTGGCTCTTCAAGATCATGTGTTCGGTAAGTTCGGGAGTTTCTCATTTAAATGTGAAACTCCCGAACGGAAGCCCATATGGCCATCCGCAGAAGTTTGTTTTCTGTGGCTTGAAGTCTATTCAAGTGACATTTGGCTGCATATCCCCACGAAGTGGAGGCATACGCCAGTGTCGGCTTGATTATGGTCTTGATGAGGAGTAGCTTGTTCCTGATACTCATCTGGCTTCTTCGATTGAGGAGTGGGTACAGCTTGGCAGTTGTTGCCTTAACCTTGTCGATGGCTGTTTTT